AGGTTATAAGTAATTAATTGTAAGTAGTGGTGGTGGTGGGGGGCAGGATGGTATTCAATAAACAGGTGTATTATTTAGAGAGACTACCTGGTGGCCCTCACTCTTACCTCCCTCTTGTTAGTGACGGTCTTACTGGTGTGTGTGTGTGTGTATGTGTGTGAAAAATGTTACACACACACACACACACACACACACACACATACCGTAAGAGAAATATTCACCAGTGTTTGTTGAGTCACGTGACTGTTTGTTTACCTAAGGTCTGTCGGACTAGAAAATTTTCCCTTTAAAAATGATACGAGGGTGATAATGCGGACATTTATTTGTTGGTAATAAAGATGACTTAACGACTGACTAACTCGTCGCGACGGGGTCCGCCTCTGTCTCTCAAACCTCGCTTTGACAGAGGAGCCGAAGGGTATTATTATCACCGTTAATCATATTTACGTAATAATTTAGGATGTGTTTGTTGGATGGTTGTTTTTCCTGGGGGTTTAGACCTTAGATAACCTTAGAGGGGATGGTTGAGGGAAGCGGAGGGTTGTAAGGTAGAGACGAAGCAGACGCCGCGGTCAAAGGAAGGGACTAGGACGCGGGCGGGCGCCAGTGTTTGTGTAGGGCAGATTTATGCCGGCAGATGGCAGGCCTGCGTCTTCCGCCCTGACATGCCCGGCGGTTCTCTCATTATCACTTCTCCACCTCACTCTCTTACACCACTCTATATTTTGGGGGATAATTTGTGCTCGCAGCCACCCTAGAGACGGATGTTGTGGGAGAGGATGTTGTGTGAGGGGATGTGTGTGAGGGGATGTGTGTGAGGGGATGTGTGTGAGGATCTTGTGTGAGGGGATGTGTGAGGATCTTGTGGGAGGGGATGTGTGTGAGGATCTTGTGGGAGGGATCTTGAGGAGGGATGTGAGGGAATGTTGTGTGTGAGGATCTTGAGGGAGGGGTGTGTGTGAGGATGTTGTGGGAGGATGTGAGGAATGTTGTGTGGGGAGGGGATTGTGTGTGAGGATCTTGAGGGAGGGATGTGTGAGGAATGTGTGAGGATCTTGAGGGAGGGATGTGTGAGGGAAGAGGTTGTGTGGGAGGGATGGTTTGTGTGGGGATCTTGAGGGAGGGATGTGAGGGAATGTGTGTGAGGGATGTTGTGTGTGAGGATCTTGATGTGGGGAATGTTGTGTGTGAGGATCTTGGAGGATGTGTGAGGAATGTTGTGTGTGAGGATCTTGAGGAGGGATGTGTGAGATCTTGAGGGGAGGATGTGTGAGGACTGAGGAGGGGATGTGTGAGGAATGTTGTGTGAGGGGATGTTGTGTGTGGAGATCTTGAGGGAGGATGTGAGGGAATGTTGTGTGGGAGGATGTTGTGTGGAGGATCTTGAGGAGGGATGTGAGGAATGTTGTGTGGAGGATGTTGTGTGTGAGGATCTTGAGGGAGGGAATGTTGTGTGTGAGGATCTTGTGGGAGGGGGATGTGAGAATGTTGTGTGGGAGGATCTTGAGGAGGAGATGTGTGTGAGGATCTGAGGGAGGGGATGTGTGAGGATCTTGAGGGAGGATGTGGTGGAATGTTGTGTGAGGATCTTGAGGGAGAGTGGAGGATCTTGGAGGGAGGGGATGTGAGGGAATGTTGTGAGATGTTGTGTGTGAGGATCTTGAGGAGGGGATGTGTGGAGGATCTTGAGGAGGATGTGTGAGGAAGTGTTGTGTGGGGATGTGTGAGGATCTTGAGGAGGGATGTGAGGATCTTGAGGAGGGGATGTGAGGGAATGTTGTGTGTGAGGATGTTGTGTGTGGATCTTGAGGGAGGGATGTGGAGGATCTTGGGGAGGGATGTGAGGGAATGTTGTTTGGGAAGGATGTTGTGAGGATCTTGAGGGAGGGATGTTGTGTGGGAGGATCTTGAGGGAGGGATGTGGAGGATCTTGTGGGGGGGGATGTGTGTGAGGATCTTGAGGGAGGGGATGTGTGAGGGAATGTTGTGTGTGGAGGATCTTGAGGGAGGATGTGTGAGGGAATGTGGAGGATCTTGAGGGAGGGATGTGTGTGAGGATCTTGAGGAGGGGATGTGAGGATCTTGAGGGAGGGATGTGTGAGGATCTTGAGGGAGGGATGTGTGTGAGGATCTTGAGGAGGGGATGTAGAATGTTGTGTGTGAGGATCTTGAGGGAGGGATGTGTGAGGAATGTTGTTTGGGAGGGGATGTTGGAGGATCTTGAGGGGGGATGTTGTGTGGAGATCTTGTGGGAGGATGTGTGAGGGAATGTTGTGTGTGAGGGATGTGAGGATGTTGTGGGAGGGGATGTGAGGGAATGTTGTGTGAGGGGATGTGTGGAGGATGTTGTGGGAGGATGTTGTGTGTGAGGATGTTGGGGAGAGGATGTTGTGAGGGGATGTGGGAGGATGTTGTGGGAGAGGATGTTGTGTGAGGGATGTTTAAGAGGATGTTGTAGGAGGATGTTTTTAAGAGGATGTTGTGGAGGATGTTTTTGAGGATGTTGTGTTTGTAGGGGTAATCTGGGTTGTGGTATGTGTCGGTGGCTGGATCAACAGATATATTTATAAGTTATCAGCTGTTGTATATGTTTTCGAGGACTCCTGAATTAAGATTTTGGAACCCAATTTATTTTACTCTGATAATTTAAATACGGTAACCAAACTCTAATAGTGGTTAAAGTTAGTCTCGGGTTAACATTAGGGTGGTTAATCTTTAGGTAAAATAAGCTGTAGTGTTGGAATATAATTATTGTGGCGCCCAGATGAGGATAAATTGTAGTAGACGTCACAGAAAGAGTCATATACAGTGTCTCAAAAAAATGTATACACACAAGTAAGGATAATGTTGTTGCTTTAATACAAACATTCACGCCATCACCACGAGTATTAGCGGCTGTGTGTATACATTTTTTGAGACACCTTTTATATTTGTTGAGTTAGTGAGGTGTGGTAACACCACAGCCCTCCACCCCGAATAGCTCTAGCTCAATTACACTTTTGTTCTTTTCTAGAAGTGAATAATTACGAACATCAAGCACGCTTTTAAACTCAAAATGGCGGTTAAATTACATTGAGCTTTTACTATAGTCTGACATGATTCTTTCTGTTTGGGGAAAGTCGATCGCAGGTTTTTTTTTTGAGAATTTATCATATGGCGTAATTAAAGTGAATGGGTGGAGAATTAAACTTACGAAGTATTTAGAATCTATCGTAAGTTTGGTCGGATAGAGAACATATTAACACTTAGGAACCTTGAGGATACATCGTTAGTGTCTCAAGCCAGTAAGAATGAGGTTAAGAGAGTAGTGGTGGAGTGTAGCCAATCCTAGCCAAGCCAAGCCACCATCCGCGTTCTACCCTCAGTAAACCAAGACGAATTTCACCCCTATCAGTGGACTCCATTCGCGCGAGGGATTACCGTGTCCACTTCCGCCAGACTTTCCGCCTTTTTGTTGTCACGTGACCTATTTACCCGCCATTAATCCGCCAATCCGGTGTCACTTTATCTTTCCGCCACTCAACGTCACTTCCGCATCAGAGACTCCTGCAGTTGCCGCACATTTTTTAATTTTGTAATTGTATTTTGCTTATCATTGGAAGGTGTGAGATAATAATTGATTTATTGTGGTTTCACGTGTGTTAAATTATCATTGTTTACACGTCTCTAGATCTCCTGTTTACACCTTTAGATCGCCTGTTTACACGTCTCTAGATCGCCTATTTACACGCCGCTAGATCTCCTGTTTACACGCCTCTATGATTGCCTGTTTGGATCCCAAGTTGTTTACGCTCAGCTACACCACGTGAGGTGTCATCCATGTGTTACCTTATCGCCCTCCACTGACACCTACACACACACACACTTAGGTCCTCTGGGGTGTGAGACAGACCACTTGGTGACGATGGGGAGGGTGGCAGAAGGATGGGGAGGGGAGGTGGTGGTGGGGCAGGGGTGAAGGAGGTGGAGGGAAAGGAGGTGATGGTGGGCAGTGGAGGAGGGGAGGTGAAGGAGGAGAGGGTGGGCATGAGAGGAGGGTGGTGGGGGGGGGGGAGAGGAGGTGATGATGATGGCATGGAGGAGGGGATGAAGGTGGGGGAGGGGGTGATGGGGGCAGGGGAAGGGGGGTAAGTAGGAGGTAGAGGTGGTGATGATTGGGAGGAGGGTAAGGATAGGAATAGTAGGCAACCCTCTCTCCTCCCCTACACACACGCGCTCAATCCTACAATGCCTGGGAACCTGTAAAACACTTTTTTGTAGTGATGACAAGGGAGGATGGAGGGAGTCAGGGATAGAGGGAAGTAGGAAGGGAGTGGAAGGTGTAAGGGAAGGAGTCGGAATGAGGGAATGGTGGGAGGTAAGGAGTCAGTGTGGAGGGAGGAAAGATTTATGTAGACAACCATTTAGGGTTTCATTAATGTGATGATTGGTAACTCCTATGTACGTTTATAATTCCTATGTAAGTATTTTCAATCCTTGTGTAAGTATTTCAAAACTATGTGCATATTTGTAGTTATTCTGTTTTTTAGTGTTATATTTTTTCTAAGTATGTACATCCCAAACAAGTATCTACCAGGCTGGATCCGATGACTTCCGAAATGTTACAGGCAACTCGTCCTGTCTCAGGAGGGTTGGTATACGGGTTCTGTGTCATACTGATCTTACTACATTTGGAACAGAACATCATATTAATTACGTCGAAATATTTACAAATTTTATCACTTGGGTTAAACTATATACCAAAGTAAATCCATGTCCCAATATATATTATCCGTGATCATAATGTTTCACACGGTATGGACAGATACTTTTTGAGATACTGTACGTACTGTATTTCACATTTTTTTCTCTCGCAATGTACGTATTATAGGTACCTTTAGTACGTGTCCTTAGGTAACAACCTCTTACCTATATATTTCCAACGTACGTGACCTTAAATCCCATACCCCTCCAAGTGCGTGATTAACTAACGCCCGTGTCCTTGTTCCCTCTGCGTACAGGTGGTGACCAGCAGGTGGATGGTGGGACCTCCTGGGCCGTCTCAGGACAACATGTTCGTCCACAATAACTCGAAGCACGGCCGACGAGCCGCGTCTGACCCAACTGAGGGTATGTTTGGTAAGTTGTGTGTGTGTGTGTGTGTGTGTGTGTGTGTGTGTGAGATGGACAGGATTAGGTAATGACTGATTATGACAACATTCCCACTACTACTATAGGTGTCTTCAGTATGCCTGAATAGCAGCTGATTTAAGATTAGCATGTCCTGATTAGGTGATTAGTACGGCCGGATTAGATGAGTTGGTCTCCTCAAATGTCTCCGAATATAATCTGTCCTTGAGGGAGTTCTACGACGGTCTGGCTGTGGAGGATGGTGAATTATTTAGAATTGTTGAATGAGTCCTGGCGAGTGAATTATGTCGTCTATTACTATAGGTTTTGTATCTACCTTTAAGAACCTCTGTGGACACTGTTGCCCGTTACTTTTTACAATCCACGACAATCGGTGAGTTTGGTTTTCTCGCGTTTATTGCTCTTAGGTCAAGTAGAGATTGTTAGATAGGTTAGGGTAGGTTAGGAAGATGATATATTAGTTAAAGATAGTTGAATTAGTTTAGATGGATTAATTTTGTGTCATTTAAGATAATTGTCTCTAGCGCTGTAGTCTCAGGCAGCAATAACGTCAACACGGGGACGCTGGTCGTCGTAGACTTAAGTAAGAATAACTCCTGTTTTTATGACGTCTGTCGCCCGTTTCTACTTAAAAAACACTAGTAATTTATAAGAAAATAAGAGGACTGCAAAATAAATAAAGACTCGCACGAGAAGGTAAATAACATCAAATATTAAGATTGAGTGTAGTATATATATATATATATATATATATATATATATATATATATATATATATATATATATATATATATATATATATATATACAGTATATTGTATGTGTGTTCAGGGTTTATTGTAATACATTTTATATACTTGGTCGTTTGTTACACTGCCTCGTCGTGTATTCATCGTCCAACAAATAGTCTTATACTTTTTCCTCTACACCAGAAGGCGGTTTTGGTGACAGTTAAATTTATCCCCGTGATGATACTTTTTCTTCACGAAAAAATAACTAACTTTCCGTCACATTCTTCTCTCAGAATTCCGGTGTAATAACTGCCTCCCTCGTTATCTGGTGGCCAACATCTTCTGCCTTTTAAATCTGTGGCACAGGAAGTCGGATTCTCGCTATGAACTATGTCTTTTACTAACTTTGAGAAACCCCGGCGATCTTAAGGTAAAAAGCAACAATAGTTTCTCATTTGTAAGTGGTCAGACAACTTCTGCCATAGCTCCCCGCTGATTGGTTTATTCTCCCAGCGGGAGCAAACTCGGCCCTGATTGGTCCGAGAAGCTTCGTGCGTTCACAAGACGCGGAATGCCAATTCGGATTTTTATATGTGTTTTGAGAAGTTTGTCGCTGTGGAATCTTTTTAGGTATAAAAGATATATCGAAATCACTGTTAACGCCATCGAGCGTGTCAGAAGACGGAACACAACGCCCAGTTAACTTTTGGAGCATAAATTGTGCCGCGGTGAAATATATTTCTTCCCGCCTTTTTAAACTCGTGTTTATTTTACGCGGAAAGTCCCAGCGAGTTTTACGAGTATGTGAATTCCACATATAAGAATTTTTGTCGTTGAATATACTTTGGCCAGCGGCACTTATCGCGGAACGTAAAGCACTCTTTATAAAACTCCGTAGATGATGCCGCGGATGTACCAACTAGTGTTGTTGAATAATGAACGTTTCCAAAGCCACTTGTATGACTGGTTTAATATGTAAAGTACACCTATATATAAGATCTTCTTTAGTAATAATCATGAAATATAGGTAAGACTTATTTTGTCGTTGAACGTTACCTTTACCGGAGACAAAGTTAGTAAGTAAAGGAGAGACAGTGTTTATAAAAGCCTTAGATGGTGTTCCTGAAAGATAATAATTTTCTCATTAAATACTTCCTCCCGCACCACTATCAATCCCAACATAGGCTCGAGACGTGGAAGAAAATCGCTTTAAACCTGACTAGATGATGTGCAGGGTGCGATAGGTTTTAACCAATCAGAGCGTCGCATTGGAAAACAATAAAGATGGCGGATGACTGAGAGTATTGTGGTGATGACGTTGTATCTTAGCGTTAATGTAGTGTGTCAAGATAACACCCGGGGACGGGACACAATTTAAAGCTGAATCTTGGGGGTTCGGGGATGTATACAGCTGCTGTGGTATTTGTTTTGTTTTGACGGATCAGCTGTTAATGTTTTGTTTTGATAGATCAGCTGTTAATGTTTTGTTTTGATAGAGTCAGCTGTTAATGTTTTGTTTTGATAGATCAGCTGTTAATGTTTTGTTTTGATTAGATCAGCTGTTAATGTTTTGTTTTATTAGATCAGCTGTTAATGTTTTGTTTTGATAGATCAGCTGTTAATGTTTTGTTTGATTAGATCAGTGTTAATGTTTTGTTTTGATAGATCAGCTGTTAATGTTTTGTTTTGATAGATCAGCTGTTAATGTTTTTTGTTTTGACGGATCAGCTGTTAATGTTTTGTTTTGATAGATCAGCTGTTAATGTTTTGTTTTGATAGATCAGCTGTTAATGTTTTGTTTTGATAGATCAGCTGTTAATGTTTTGTTTTGATTAGATCAGCTGTTAATGTTTTGTTTTGATAGATCAGCTGTTAATGTTTTGTTTTGATAGATCAGCTGTTAATGTTTTGTTTTGATAGATCAGCTGTTAATGTTTTGTTTAGATAGATCAGCTGTTAATGTTTTGTTTTGATAGATCAGCTGTTAATGTTTTGTTTTGATAGATCAGCTGTTAATTTTATAAATATTTTAATAAATTCAATACAAAATATAGGGAGAGGCAAGTCAGGACTAGTTAGGGTTAGGAAGGAATAGGCCGGGAGAGGGATAGGGGGAGACGTGAGGCTAGGAAGTGAAGGGGGCCAGTGAATCAGCAGGTATTTAGGGTGACCGCTGTAATAATGCGATCAAAGACACCCACTCCCAGGACTGGGGGGGACCTGGCCTTCTCCTCTCCTCATACTTCCCACGGCCATCACCTCACCGACTCCTTCAACCATACGATTCTTTCCTTTCCTACGACATCTTTCTGACCTCCTTCCCTTCGACTCCTTCCCTTCCCGACCCCTCACTTCCTTCACGACTTTCTCCTTCACCTGACATTCTCCTTCCTTTGACCCCTTCTACACGACCTTTCCTACGACTCCAATCTGGACCCCTCCCAACAGCCAAGGTCGAACAACGATCAATCCTAATTCCGGATTCCTAATTTCATCGTGTGTGCGTGCGTGTCACGATATTGATATTGTGTGTGTGTGTGTGTGTGTGTGTGTGTGTGTGTGTGTGTGTGTGTGTGTGTGTGTGTGTTTGAGACAAGAGTGGGAGAGGGGTGGCAGAGTATCGTAGCCATGGGGTCTTTGAATGGTGCGGATAGCTATCGTTGGTGGGAGGTGAGAGGAGGGGAGAAGGTAAAGTGAGAGGGAGAGGTGAAGTGAGGGAAGATGAGGTATAGTTGGTGGGAGGTAGGTGAGGAGTTAGGGAAGGTGAGCTAGGGGCGTAGAAGGTGGGGAGTTATTGGAAGTGAGGCAGAGGGAGGGTGAGGTTAGGGGAGGTGAGACGAGGAGGTGGGGCCAGAGAGGTGAGGTTATTGGAAGTGAGGCCGAGGAGGTGAGGAGGTTAGGGAGGTGAGACTGAGGAGGTGAGGTTAGGGGAGGTGAGACGGGGAGGGTGAGGCCAGAGGTGAGGTGTGGAAGTGAGACGAAGGGAGGAGGGTGAGGTTAGGGGAGGTGAGGGGAGAGGAGCAGGTATCGAGGCCACTGCTTCCTCTGTCTTCATTACCTTAGCTTCTCCCCTCCTGGCTGCCTGACGAAATCGTTTGTGAGGTGATGAGGTGATGGGATGGGGAGTGAGATGAAGGGAGAGTGAGGGAAGGGAGGAGGGTAGAAGAGGGTGAGGAAGGGAGGATAGAGAGGGTGAGGGAGGGAGGATGATGGGGAGGATAGAGAGTGAGGGAAGGGAGGATGGTGGTGAGGATAGAAGAGTGTGAGTGGAGGATAGAGGAAGGTGAGGGAAGGGGAAGAAGGTGATAGGATGGGGAGGAGGATAGGGAAGAGATGGCTAGAAGAAAGACAGGAAGGTGAGGAAGGGAGGGAGGGATGGGGGATAGAAGAAATTTGGGAGAAGTAGAAGAGAGGGAGAGAAGGTGAATAAAAATGAGTACTGAGAAGAAAATAATAATAAAGAGTTGAATAAGTATTGGGAAGAGTAGAGATGAGAAGAGGAAAGAGACAGAGAGACGCATTAGATGGAGCGTTCGTGTAAGAGAATCCGACTTAGTTGACGTTACTTAAGATAAGATAAGATGTATTTAAACGTAAACCAAAGCGATAATACGACCAGCATACGACGACACAGGGCGAAAAGGTAAACAAAACGATAATACGACCAGCATACGACGACACACCGAAAAGGTAAACAAAACGATAATACGACCAGCACATGACGACACACGGCGAAAAGGTAAACAAAACGATAGTACGACCAGCACATGACGACACACGGCGAAAAGGTAAACAAAACGATAGTACGACCAGAACATGACGACACACGGCGAAAAGGTAAACAAAACGATAATACGACCAGCATACGACGACTTTTAAACTAAATGAGACAAATTAGGACTGACATACAGGACCAGTTGACATAAATAAGCACCACAAGTAAAATAATGTAACGCTATATTGGTTAGGTTAGGTTATAGGTTAGGTTATAGGTTAGGTTATAGGTAAGGTTATAGGTTAGGTTTTACTGGACTGGGCTAAAGATTAGGTTTAGGTTGAGAGGTTAGGTTAGGTTTGAAGAAAAAATCAGAAAGGAAGACAAATGAACTTAAAAAAAGATAATGTATTCGTAAACAAGAGAGAGAGAAAACAAGAGTAAAGTGAGAGAAGAGAGGAAAGAGAAGGAGAGAGAAGAGAAGATAAACAGGGAAAGAGAGTATACGAGGCACAACGATGAAACCCTCCCTCCTTCCCTCCC